ACTGGATATGTTCAGGTTTCCAGCGGCCCAGCGGCAAACGAAAATTACCGATGTGGAACATCCTATCCAAAAATGTGTAGCTCTACTCTTTATGAGTGGTATGATGTAAGTGTCAGTTTGTGTCGTTTGAGATGTCGCTTGCCGCCTTTCCCTAATCATGTCAACGTTTGGGACTACATTCTATAGTCCCTCGAAAAAGGGGTCAAGGATCCGAATATTTGTCGTCTACCTGAGGGAGACAGACAGGCATCGTTAGTTAGAATTAGTAGCGGTAGAGACGCAGATTTAAAGGTTGAATGGTTAACGTATGTTCCGGCTGTTCTTTCGGCACACTTCATGTCGTTTAACTAACGCTTGGCTTGTTGTACTTTAAAAGTGGATCGCCGCCTAGCTGTGTAGACGGAAAGAAAAACGAAGACTACAAATGTGGTTACCTAAACGAAGATGTTGCATGTAAAAACCAATGTCCGGAAGCAAAATGTGGACAGGGACAATCTGGTTCCCGACTCTTACCATCAGGATCATCCGAATCAAACACTAGTGCGATCGCTATCATTGGCGGCGTCGTCGGCGGGGTTGCATTTATCGGCCTACTCGGTTTTGCCGTTTATTTGAAAAAGCAACGAGGCAAGGATGATCCAAAGCTTGATTTAAAAAATCTTCCAGACTTGCATAGTAGTGCAATTAATTCAACTGCCCAAACCCCAATGTCCCCTCAGTCTGGTCCATCTTATAATCCATCGCCTCTTTTCACACCTCAACCTGTTGATGGATACCAACAGCAGGCTCCAGCTTCCAGCCTTTATTCTCCACCTCTTCAGCCTAGTCCTCCATCACCTACCAAACAACAGTACAACCAATCGCTTCAATTGCACAATGCTGCGTCACCCGCTTACGTCTCAAATGAAAGTGTTTCTTCTGTCGTTAAGGTGGCTACTGGAGAATACCTCCAACCCAGAAACCAAGATGAAATTGTCGTGAAGAAAGGGGACAAAGTGTTAATTAAGGAAATGTTTGATGATGGTTGGGCTTTGGGTACCGTATGTATAGTGATTTCCGAAAAATTAGTGTTTGCTTTTCCGGCTGGACTTCTCATCTCTCTTGCATTCTTCTTTTTCAGAATTTGTCAACTGGCATGGAAGGCATTTTCCCCATGTCTCCTTTCAACGAAACGTCGTCGTCTGTTTCCGGCAGTGCATCCAGTCCAACACAATCTCAGTTTGTACCTCCGAACGGGCCACAACATCTTCAAAATCAACCACAATTTCAGCAGAATCATCCAATGAGAATATCTGAGACGAGTACATCTTCAGCTGGTTCTGGTGGTGGTATGCCGATATATCAAGTCCACAACAACCTACCTCAACCCCAACATCAATATACGAATAGCCAAATTCCGGCGCAATCAATACATACTCCGCGTCCTGTCAGTTTTACCCCTATTCAGAATCAAGGGCAATCTCAGCCTCAGGCCGCGATCACTAGCTCCCTTGGAAATCCAAATTACCAACTATATAATTATCAGCAACAGCACTAAGAAAGTGGACTCTGTGGCTACAAATTTGCCAGGTATTGTGTACTCTAAAGGTAACGATCGAGGAAGTTGGGGATTATATGTTATGTCACCTGAATGACTTGACTTAATCAGTGCAATGTGATTTATTCTACCTGTGGTAGGATTGGTAGTGCGTTAGAATTATGAACACCTTATAGACTCCTTAATATTTGATCTGTAAAATGATTTTTTAATACATCTATTCAGTCGTCAGTTGAGTTCACTTTAATTCCGGATTGTATGCAGCCGTGTATCCCATCAACTCCATGTTAGAAACGCCATAATTGGGTTTTTACTTAATCTTTTTTGGCTCCGATTGTATTTGACTATTTCGCTCAAGCCATGTAGTATCGCTATCAAGTCACTCTAGCAGCAAAGAGGTTTATCATTTATTCATGACCATGGGCATTTTCCAACTCAAATTTACATTTACCCGAGCCTGCTCGGAACAACAAAAAATCAACGCGGGCTGTTTCTTAAAACTAAGCTACACGATATAGCTATGACAGAATCGCTGCGAAACAAAAATTTTCTGTGCTAAACTTAAAACTAACGATATTATGACAAATTTGATTATATATAATATCCATTAAATGTTAGAAACCTAATCTTTCTTTCTGTAATCAATATGTTCAGTGAAACGGGAAGACGTTTAGTTGGCGCGTGGGTGGCTTGACAAATTTATTCAATAGTTGTATTGTCGACAACAATAGCAGTGTAGAAAGAAATAATAAAGCTATTGTCTTTTATGAATTGAGAGCAAGTCGACAGAGTGCTTAATTGGCCTGTACATGTGCCCAAGACGAGTCGGATGTTCTGGCATCAACTTTTAGCTAGAAGCAATAAAGCTAATTTTTTGTCATCGAAGGCCAATAGTTAAAAACAGCAGCGCAAAAATAGCTGCTAATTATCTGGAATTTTGTATTTAACCGTAATGCGTCCGCTAGTACCAGTATCAACGGACATTTAGCTAACACAAAGCTACAATATAGAGAACCACATAGCATAGAAACACATAGACCATAGAGTATAGCGAACCAGCATATTATATTAGAACACCGCAATCTCACAGCGAGCAGCAATGGCATTCAACTTATTACTACTTCTGTTAAGCATAAGCGTTTTCAATTCACTACAACCAAATTCGTTTGCCTCCGCTCTTCCTCCAAACTCTATGCGCCCACGACTTTTTTCCAGGTCTGCTCAAGCCACTCCACCTCCAGTTCCATCAAGAACAGACTCTCCACTTCCGAATAAAATTTCTCGTCAGAATATTGTCAAACCACTGTTTAACGCAGTCAGTGAAGATAGTTTGAAAACGCATTTGGAAATTTTATGTGTCAAGTTTCCTGGCCGATTTTTGACATCGCCGACCGGTGTCGAAAGGTATAGTCATAAAGTTACCCAACCTTTATAAGTTCGACAAATTAACCATCTCCACTTTATCCATTTTAGCGCTAATTGGATCCACGACACCGTAGCTTCATACATACCGACGAGAAAGCTATCGTCAAAAGTGACCATTTCAAAGTCTATTTACCCAAACACAGCCAAACAGCCATCCATAATCGCCAGGATAGAGGGTGAAGGCAAAAATCGAGACGAGATCGTTGTTATAGGTTCTCATTTAGACTCGATAGCGACGTTGCCGTCCGCCTCAACACCAACGCCCTCACCAAACTCTCGGCCGAAGTTCGCGGTAAGTAATTCACATCACTTCGACGAAAAAAATAGAGTTACGGTTAATCTTAAACTTCCTATAGCCCCCAGACCAGATGCCTGGTTGCGATGATGACGGTTCAGGCGTTGTTACGCTTATGGAGATTTTTGTACGTAATGATAAGTTTAATAACTCACAAACTACATAACTATTGACATACGTTTCTGCCGTCTTTAATTTAAATTGTAGAAATTATTGATGACAACTGACATTAAATTCTCGAGGAGTGTCGAGTTTCACTGGTATGCAGCTGAAGAAGCCGGTCGACATGGCTCGAAGGGCATTGCTAATCAGTATAAAAAGGAAGGGAAAAATGTTTATGGTATGATGCAGGTATGTGTTAAGTCTCGCTTCTAGTGACTTCAATTTTGATCCTGAGATACTAACTATAGTGTTTAGTACGATATGGTTGGTTATGTACGCAACAAACAACGAGAACACATTGCAATCAACACAGGTGAATCAAATGACAAGTTAGTGACTTTTATGAGGACATTAGTGAAAGAGTACATTCCGCTGCCTGTCGAAGAAAGACTTATGCCGGATGGAAAGTCTGATCACGCTTCATTCACAGAGGTAATTAAGTCTTTGCCAAATTGCCCCCGATATTCCTATTCTAACGCATAATAATATATTTTTCATTATAGGCTGGCTATAGAGCGGTCCACATGTTTGAAGATGTTGATTTCAATGAGAGATATCATACTCCCAATGATACAATTGAACATATTTCGTTTTCACATGTTGCTCAATTTGCCAAATTAGGACTGGCTTATCTCCTCGAAATGGGAATGTGAAGTAATATTCATATGAGCTTTTTACTTTTTAATTGTAAATAACAAGTAGCTGAAAACTATGTTGATGGTGGAGAAATCGGATATTCCGAAATTGTACCAATTATTATACTCGTAAATACTAAATTATGAAAATATTGTTACATTGAAACCTCTTCTCTCAAATCATATGCAACCCACAGCTTTGATGCAATTAATCTTAGGTTAGGTTACAGCGGACGTTGCTCAATATTAAAGTAGCGACTTTACGTATTACGAAAATGTGAATGCATGCTTCATAACCAGAAAGTCAAATTATTGCTGATTCTTATATGTGTATTGTTCAAAAGATTCAGAAACGGGTGATGAACACGATTTATCTGGCCGAAAAGTCGCATCACCGAGTGTATACTACCGCGTATACTCACATAGTGCGATCTTCAATGCTAAAATGCGACAACCAAGTCAGTTAACCCTGGCCCGAAAGGCTACTAAAATATACCTACTCTAAACCGGTTGTTCCAATATTTTGTGTTCCTCTCAAATGAAACCGGATTGTAGACTAGTTAATCGGTTTTTACACATCAGCAGATAGTAAATGAATATATTGTTTAACAATGATTAGAGTATTAAATGCACCAAATTGCTAATTAAAGCCTACGTTGTCACTAACTTAAATCTCAAGATTACATTGTATTAGGACGCACTGCACAATAATCAAACGATTTGTTGACTACTGATTTTAAATGTTTAAACTTATAGCGAATTGTATGTTTGATTCAATCGTTCCACCCGGAGACATACGAGTCAGCTTAATAAGTACATACAATGTGTTGATAAAAGTACCGCAATATTTGGTACAAACTCAAGCTAAAAAACAGGGCTGAAAAATAGGCGTAATCTTACTTTACAATTACGTCTAAAACGAATACAAAACAGACCGAAAAAGATACTCTCGAGCGGGGAATTGAACCCCGGTCTCCCGCGGACTTAGGCACCAGCCAATGACAGGCGGGGATACTCACCACTATACTACTCGAGATGTATGATGACGAGCAAACAAATATTATAAGAATGTAACTTTTTTGCAGACAAAACTCAAAGTTCAACTGCTTTTCGAGAAAAGAAATCTGCCGAATTTCAAAGAGTATCAGATATAATTTAAACCTCAGCTATTATTGTAGCACCACTTTCTCAAAGCGTACATATTTTATGTGGCAAAATAGTATATAACAGCGTTCCTAGGTGGTTATATTGCTAATTTGCTACAAATTCGCCAGATACTATATGTGTAGCTACAACTCTGTATGTAGGACATGGCTAGGTGCAAACTATGATTCTAGATAGACGATTATACGCAGTCATGATTTTCCTGCGACAACCTTCCTTCACTGTCCGCTTTAACTTTTCTAGTTGCCTTCTGTTTAGTATCCTTAACTACTACCCCGAATCAAGCAAGACCTTCCATTCTCGAATCCCCAAGCCCGGCCGTCTGAACCGACTGAAGTTGGTGTATTTCCTTGACATGCTGGGAATGATGAGATATCTCGTACAGGATTGGCTAACATCGAGGGAAAGGTTAACCCTTGAGAAACGGCATTCTTGGGGTCTGAGATGACACAGGGTTTCCCTTTTTCAAATCCAAAAAGTCGGCCGTTCACTCCGATAGCTGTCGCAACGTTTCCTTGACACTGCACCTCTAAGGACGCTTGAGGGAGGGCATTGGTATGACACACCAATAGAATGAGCGAAAGAAATAATGTGGACTTGAGCATTGTACCCAACTTAAATGCTTTGCTGGCAAACGGAAAAAATCGACTTTGTATGCTCCGAAATCGCTACTTATGGAGTCATCCTTTTAAGAACTTTTTTTCCTCTTTTAGCTCCGCTGAATCTCTTTATTGGAAATTCATTGACATTGTAGCAATAAAAAAGATGCGGCTTGAAAGTCAGTGCATAAGCTGCATTTGGACAATTGAGTCAGTTTCGCGTGCCAATCGACTAAATGTCTTCATTCTTGTTGCAAGTTCACGCCGCCGTTCCATGAAAGGTCTTGTTCTTAATCAATTTATCGTAGTTATTCGAAGATTCCATGACCAGCCTATGGTGTATCTCATTTCGCATTTCCAGCCCACATGCGTCAGAGTGCACTACTTCTGGATTTTAGTAGCATTCAGTTATTTTCGACTTCTTGCTCAGGGGAGGTGGCGCTGCACAGCAACTACATCATCATGCACAACATGATGCCGTTGCACGGCAAAAGTCAGCTGCAACAAGTGCAGAATTGAATGGAAACAGACCATGCACCGTTGTATACTTTTATGAAGCTTACTTAACGAATGTAATTGAAATCTCATGAAAGGATAGGTTCATATTGAATTTATAATTAAATATGACACTATGTACAGTTTTTTAGGCATTGCCAAAAAGATATACAGAGCATTTAAATGCCCTATAAAGAAATATGTGTTCCAAGTAGATGTATTTCTGAACACTGAACAGTGGATGCCACCATCAGATTGCATTTGGAAACACCAAAAAAGCAAATTGAAATCTGTCTTGCAGCCGCCGTCAAAAGAATGAAATATAGGTTAAAATGCGATTTGCAGTTGCGAGGCCACTCTCCAATATTATCATTAAAGGGCCTTTTTATAACGAATGCAATTGAAAAGTCGTCCAAAATGATTGGAGATTGTAATTTATGTTTGTAACGGAGGTCCACTAACACACGGTATCAGCCTGAGATAATAATGTATTCAGTATCATAGTACTGTGTACTTCGTCATATATGTGTTTATTATTACAGTTCTCTATAAGTATTGTTGTTAGTCAACAGTTTCGCCAACACTACACGTGCATATAATATAACCTTTCATCTCTTGGAGATTACACCAGCAGTACACGGCCGCACTTTACTGTTCCGGTTCCTCGCAATTTACACGCCTCTGTATGTATGTATTACTGATGTACTGAAAGTTACTTTACACATTGCCTGCGTGCCTTATAATCTTATACTCAGTTTTTAGCCAGGAGTGGAATCCCTTCTGGGACCGATTAATAATACATCGTTGATGCTACTATTTGTTAGTCCATTTTTTGCCAATAAGAGTACCGACTATGGGGCATTCCGCGATTGTTCCAATACTCAAGTTGCACTATTATATGCACTATTATGATGCCACAGCAATATGAACACATTGCCACAATGACTTTCATAATACCGCTACACTATGGGGACCGGGGATTACTGGGGATTTTCATTGATCGACTCAACAGGTGTAATGTCTATCCAGAAACTCGAAATGATGCACCTCTGGAAGAGAATGATACCCCAGTGATACCCCGGACTACTGTGGATATGGGTGATCCCTCCATGATGCCACAGCATTATGAATATATTGCCACAAAGGCTTTCACAATACCCCTACACTACTGGGGACCGGGGGAGTATCATTGTTCAACTCAACAACTGTTATGTCTATCCAGGCACCCGAAAGTATGCAACTTGCAAGTGTGTAAAAATGGGATCCCGCCACTTTGGAAATTGATGATATCTATAGTTAATCTCAGCGAAATATAAATACCACCTTCGTCAATCTCAGGTATGTTTCATTGAAAGCGAGTATAGCCCCGCTCAACTTGCGGTTCGTAGTCCCAGCTAACCTGATATCGTGATGCAAGAGTTGATGGCTGACTATTTTTTTTTTTTTTGGTAGCATCGATGATGTGGTCCAGCTTCCTGCTCATCCTCCTGTACGTCGTCCAAAGCAACGCCCTGCTCAATAACTACACTCTCGGCTTCGTATATCCCGATCTGCAATTACAAACATGGGCTCGGGATTCACTAAGAGCATTTGATCTCGCAGTCAAAGAAATTAATCTCAACTCCACATACAATTCAAGTTTTGTGTTGTCATATGTCTTCAGAGATGAAAGTACTGGAAATGAAACCCTTGCCACTTCTGGTGTCTTCGACATTGGGACCTTGCCAAATATTAGTCTGGTCGGCTACGTTGGTACCGGTATGCATAATCAACTCCAAAATATTATACGACCATGATGTAACCTTCTAGATTACTTCTTCAGGATACTCAAAGGCGTTACAAGGACCATCTGTCCTTGCGTCAGCTCTTCAGAAGCCAATTATATCACCAGGTTTGCTTCTACAACGAATCATGTCTATCTAAAGGAACCGTTATCTTAATGTATTTCTAAAATGGTTCAGGCTCAGCCCAATCCCAATTTTCGGACAAAACGTATATGCCTTTCTTGCTCAGATCGATTGCGTCAAGCTTGGAGGAGACAAAATGTGAGTTCTTCGCTTCAGTTCTTCATGTCTCTCCAGACACACTGAGTTTACATTGTAGTGTTTAACATCATTTTGATATAACTGCAGTTGTTGCCCATTTTGTTGCTGCTACCGGGTTCAAGAATATTGCACTTCTCGTTGATGATAAAGGTAGCTCTTTACTTCATGGATTCAAGTCGGTCTATTCTAACTACACGACTCTAAGGCCTCGGCACGTATCCGCTTCAGCTGTTTAGGCAAATAGCGCAAAGCTACGGCATCAACATTAGAACATTTCTTTACATTGGTTCAGATACCAATTTCGATTTCGTGTTTCTCACATTGAAGGAGTCGAAAGTAAAGGTGGTTGTAAACCTCGCTATCCCCTCGAACTGGCGACAGTTAGGTCCTTATGCTAAGAAGTATGGAATGGATGGAAAGGATCATACTTGGATAACTGTGGAAAGTCTCGGTTCGGGGAACGATATTGATCAAATGCTTTACAATTGGCCTGGAATAATGATATCCAGAAGAGCTGCCGTAAGTGCTTCTATTTAAATTATGGGCGGTGACCACACTCAGAGCGTCAGTTTAAGACATTTTGTGCTCCCTCCGCAGGCCTTGACGAACTCCCCCGCTGTTGATGCATTCAACGTTAAGTGGGGGGCCATGTACAATTCGACAATATCACATTTCGGACTGTACGCTTACGACACTGTATACCTTTATGCGGAGGCCATTCGAAGTTTACTGGCTAAATCTGGTAACCCCGTCAATGGGACTGCGTTAATCTCGGAGCTCAAGAGCTTGCAATACACAGTCTATACCTAGTGATACCTATGTGTCACTGGTCCCATTAAATTTGATCCCATCACCCAAGATCGCGTAGAATACTTCAATATGATAAATATTCGCGAAGTCGCTGCGCATAGCGTCCAATGGTCACCGGATCAGGCAACGATAAATGGCACTGATATCGTCTGGGCTGGTGGGTTGGAAATAATGCCATCAGACGGGTCGATTGCCAGTACCGAAACTTCATTCATTGTTAATCGTACGAATCCCTATGTGAGTAGTCCTTCTTCTGTCCAAATTGTCCTCCGCAACAGCTTTTATGAACCGGTCAATATTTCAAGCACGGATGTTAGCATATTGGTGGTCAAGAGTAATCTCCCTGTAGATACCTCACCATTCGTAGAAGTCAAGAACGGAACCGTCAATGTTACACTTACATACCCTCAAATAGGACTGTATTCTGTTCGAATTTTGTTCAGAAATCAAGATATTTCCGGCAGTCCATTCACCATTCAAGCATCTCGGATTCCGACGGCCCCTGAATACATATCACCAAATGACACGATTGGAGCTTTAGTTACTGCACTATTGATTCTCCTTTATGTATTGGTGGGACTCACCGCGATGATGTTCTTCAAATACCGCCATGCTAAACCGATCAAAGCTTTGAGCGTTGGGTTTTGTTTAATGATTCTCTCTGGCGTGATCGTGATGGGAAGCGGCCTGTGGACCTTTGTTGGAAAACCAACCTCTGGTTCTTGCATTTCTCAGGTTTGATGACAATTTATTGTTAAGTTTGCCGTTCAATTAACATTTGACGCTAATGACAATCAATGAAAGATATGGACGCTGGCTGTTGGATTTGGCCTGGCTTGTGGATCTCTTTTAGCCAAAACGTACCGTGTCTACAAAATTTTCAATAATATTCGATTGCAAAATCTTCAGTCTTCGCGATTTTT